ATTTTGTTATGGTCTTCAAAGAGGTAACTCGTGAAAATAGAGTCCTACGGACGAGAATTTCGTCCGTCTTGCTCTATCTTGTACCGTTTGGGTGCTAGGGGGCATTTCTTGCCAAAATTGAGGTGTAAATGTCCAAATGGTCAATTTAATCGTTAATGCCGAAAAATTGTATATTCACTCGTACTATCCCGTCTCGGGTGTCGGCGCCGTAGGCCTAGCTATACGTGCGCCAGTCGCGTCGCAGCGTAACAGTATTCCGTAAGATAGCCTGTTACTCAAGACGTGGTCTGGCGTACATATAGCTAGTTTTAAAGGAAGAAATGTTTGTTCTTAACTGAAAATCTGCAGTTTATTGGCTAGTACTCCCTACCTCTACCCCCTTAATTTCTGAACCTATTTTTTGCGCTTGATAACAGACATTGTTGCAGGCTACTGGCGCCCTTTGCCCAGCGTCCTGTCGAAGAGATTTCCTAGACGCGTTCCTGCATGTTTTGCACAACAAAATGCATATGGGTTTAGTGTGGGTAGAAATCACCCGAATAACAAAGATGCTAATCAGATCCTTTTAAAGGTGCAAATGGTGTATTGCCCCTTTACTAAAAGTACCAGAAGTCCCTAAGGTTTACCAATTAGCGAGGAAAACCTTTCCTATTGGCTAAATATGTGCTCAGAAACGTTCCCCCGTTCACCGACATTGCTACTATCCGTTTAGACTAATGTACACAATTGGGATTTATTTGCGATTCCATATGAATACTTACTTTTACAAAGTGCCGGACACACCCATGAATCTTGCATCTTGGAAATGCATTCCGCCATCCATTCCTCTCGGCCTGCTCCCAGTCAGTTATCACATTTCTTGCATCTAGTCCCATTCCCCTGAACTTTCGGAAGACAGCCTCGTACACCTCTGTACTTTTTGCCCTCATTATAGCAGTCCCTATTGGAAATGTTAAGAAATTAATATTACAAAAAATAGAGCTTCTAATTTCTGTCAGAGTAAAATCTAACTGACGTACGACTTTCTTCGTTATTTATCATGATCAGCAAGTAATAAATTGGCTCGTTAAAGATGTAAATTGATTTGTGATATGTACTTACAGCGTCATATGCCAATATTGCGATAATCATCAGATATAGCGCCCCGACCAAACGTCGGGTGACCCGAAATGTAGGGTCAGAGGCTATCACATCCGTTTGATGGACCATTTGCAGCTGCCTTTTTGTACAGGAAATGAGGGATTCCTCCCTATCTTCCCCAACCATGACTTGGTAGAGCATCTCCTCCCCGTCGATGGTTCGTCCTGCAAGTAGGGTAGTTAAAGCAAATGTGAATTCTAAATAACTGATATTATATAGCGAAAGAGGTACGTTTACCGAGATAGGAGTAGTCCGGTTCACGGAACATGCTGTCCGCCTCACGAAAGGTCTGAGGGCTAGCAGAAATCTTCTTCTTCCTCAAATCTCACCCCATCCTGAATATGCTTCAGTTTTAGCAAGGACGCCACCTCTAGGTTTGTATTTTTGAGCCTGATAAAATTTTTTGAAGATGCTAGAAAATTGTTAAAGAAAATGTCTGTTGCAAGGACTCCACGGTCTTGACGGCCTTCAAGTGGGCTGAGACGCTGAGACGCTGAGAGATAGAGCAAAACGGACGAAATTTTCGCCCACAGGGCTCTACTTTGACGAGTTACCCCTTAGGAGCTCATAAAAAAAATATTTTTTTCTGACTTTTTTGACCTACCCCCTTTTCTTTGATACCCCCTTTTGGCCCCTTAGGGTTGGTTGCCGTAGGCGTTTCGTTTTCTAGGAGTGAAGCTTAAGATACCCTGAAAATTTGAAGTCTCTAACACATCTCCTTCTAGTGGAACAGACAGACAGACAGACACACAGACACACAGACACACGGAAAAAAATGGTCGGTTGTGGCAACCAAAAGTCGATCGCTACGACCATTTCTCTCGGTAGATACCAGGACTATCGACTTTCTGATTGTGACAACCA